AGATAAAATGTCACTATGTACATATTAGCTTCTGTTAAGAGCTTCTCTCATGAGCTGAACAGCTCAGTAAGAGAACTTTGCTGTGCTTTGAGTGCCCATCTGACTCTGTGGATTCAAATGTGTGCACTTCTTGTATAAATGATTTATACTGCTGCTGGGTCTGACCTGATAAAACTAGATTAGTTACCTTTATAGAAAAATCATAGATCGCTCATTCAGACATGGAGCTGACACATTAAGAGTTAACAGAAAGGTATAAATGTCTAAATTGATTTATTCCTCATTAGAAGTTTAAAGCTGCACCTGAACTTTCTACTTAACAGCACTACTGTTGAACTCACCAATTCTTTCAGCTTCAAAAATTAAATGCCTCACATGTGCTCGTTTCCTCTCTCTCCTCAGATCATCTTCTACGAGGACAGGAACTTCCTGGGTCGTTCCTATGAGGTCATGAACGACTGCCCTGACATGTCCTCCTACCTGAGCAGGTGCCACTCCTGCAGGGTTGAGAGAGGCTGCTTCATGGTGTACGACCGGACCAACTACATGGGCAACCAGTACTTCCTGAGGAGGGGTGAATATGCTGATTACATGAGCATGATGGGGATGAACGACTGCATCAGGTCCTGCCGTATGATCCCCATGGTAAGATTTTACGCCAGTCTTCATTTACCCTGGATGACATCATTAAAATACTCTGAGTTAAATCCATTTGTCTTCTGCCTCACAGTACAGGGGATCCTACAGGATGAGGATCTACGAGAGAGAGAACTTTGGTGGTCAGATGTATGAGCTGATGGACGACTGTGATAACATCATGGACCGTTACCGCATGTCCAACTGCATGTCCTGCAATGTGATGGATGGCCACTGGCTGATGTACGAGCAGCCCCACTACAGAGGCAGAATGATGTACATGAGGCCTGGAGAGTACAGGAGCTTCATGAACATGGGATTCAGCGGCATGAGGTTCATGAGCATGAGGCGCATCACTGACTCCTGCTACTAGGCTGTCTTTGCACTAAATAAAGCTGTCATGAACTGAACTACTGGTGTGTTTAAGTCATGGATTATTTTGAGTAGATTTTGAGTACTTACATTCATTCAGAAATTCTAACTTTTCAGTAATTCAGAAGAAGCAAGTCATTTGCTTTTTATTCTTATTTTCAAACCACATTCTTTCAAAAATCAACTACAAGTGAAATTTGTGCAACCTTTTAGCACAAAATGTTCACTTATATGTACCACAACTTCACTGTCACAGTGAACCTCTTATAACCTTCTTTTCATATCTTTTTACATTAAAAGCCATAGAC